TGTTGAGATTTTCAGTACCTAAGAGATCATATAAAATTAAAACGTATGAATCTAATTAATAAGTTTAAAGATACCACATCAGTAATAACTTTTGTTTCATGATAATTTAAATATAAAGAAGGGAAAATTGCCAAAAAAAATCCACCAAATTTCAATTTGCTCACAAGGATTTGGGAAATTAGGTCATTTGCTGGCGTTAATTCAAATTTTCAAATGACATGATTGCCCTTACAATTAAAAAAAAGTAGAGCAAGGTTCCTCTTTTCAATATATTGCATAAGGTCTTTTGCGCTGTTCATAATTTCATGCCAATACTTAATACAAAATCCTTAAGTGTCAATATGTCAAACAAGATCCTTAGATGGCAATTTATTGAGCCCTAAAACATGTTTTCAATATATGCGATGTTTTTTCTATATATTTAAATGTCATTTTTGTATATTTGAATATTCTTTATTAAAATCTCTTAAGAATACATTTAGATGCAAATGTGATGTTTCTTCCATGATATGCAACCGTTTTTTAGCAAATGCAATGTTTTTTTGTATATTTAAATGTGTAAAAATTTGAATATTTCTTGTTAAAATCCCTTATAAATACATTTAGACATATATGTGATGTTTCTTCCCTAACATGCGACTGCTCTTCAATAAAGTATAATTTTCTTTAATATATTCCAATATCACAAATGCATATTAGAATAAATGAAATAAAAATTATATTTTCTTAAAAGGTAGTTGCACATTACGAAAGAAGAGTTGCACGTGGTTAAAAATATATGCATATGATCCTAAAACATGACATTAGGTGTAAAAATTTTATAATATCCAAAATAATCATTTGAATAAATGAAAAAAATTATATTTCCTTGAATGGTAGTAAATTTTTAGGATATAAAAAAAAGTGTATTTAGGTAAGTGGAACTAAATTGCCTTCTCAATGTATCCATAATGCATATTTGAATATAAAATAGAACTTGAAATTTGAATATTGCACCAACATTGTATTTTCAGAATATTATAAATACATATTTTGAATTTTTTTTATTTTTATGAAAATATCAAAGGATATTTTAAAAACGTAAATGATTATTTTAAAAATTTACTCATTTTTTTATAAAAATACTTATAGATATTCTAAAAATTTGTTCATTTTTTAGAAAAATGCATATGGATGTTTTGAAAATATAATTTAATATTTTAAAAATTTGCTAATTTCTCATGAAAAATCCAAGAGATATTCGTAGTAGTCACTATTATTATATGTAAAGTTTATTCAGACCAACTTAAAGCATATAAAACAATAATTGAATACTAACAAATCCACTTATCATTGGACAATAATGTGGCTTTACGTCTTTTGACAACATAAATTACATTCTGCTACAGCAAGATAATACAACAATTTAGTTATTGTTTGTCAAATACCTTTAAATGCAAGAGTAACATTCTAACAGTAAACGCAAGGAAGTTTAATATCATTTTCCCCCTATTCTCATGGCTAGTGGAAGTATTGCATGTGTCCGTGAAGATTCCTCAATTGCACTAGTAGTGCCTATACTTCTCATGGAATTTCTCAATCAATTCCTCAATGGTCTCTACATCGGCAACTTTGTACTCTTACAAACCCACAACGCAAACTTATTGCGCACCATCCTCCCTCTCGCAGAGCTCTATGGGTATAAATGCCAATTTTAACTTGTAATTTCATAAATCAGAAGGGTGCTAGCGAAAGTAGAATAGGTTGAATAACTTCCGATTATGAAGAAGATCAAAAAGCTTCCCACCATATATTTCAAAGAAACTCAAAAATAACTGAAATCCTTGATTTTTGTATGTTGCACTAATCTCAGGATGTCCTTTGATGCTTTAAGTGGCAATGGCTTCATTGTATACATCTTTCCAATTCCTAGAAAAGCAAAAAAATGGTATTTTGATGTTCACTTTGTACATAACTAGTAGCACAAGTAAGCCATCAAAGTTACCCTGGCACAAAATGAAAGGACATAGCCAAACATAGATTTACTTTATAGAATTATAGTAGATTTCCTCTGGGCCTTTGAGCTGACTAGTATAGGCATAATGAAGACATTTTGGGGGTATTTACAATCCTATATCATAGCACCATGCTTAACAAAATACAAACCATCAAAAAGCTAAGAATAAAACTGTGCATTATAAAGATTAAAGAAGTATGTATAATGAAAAGGACAGAATTTAAATCCTTACAACTACTCTTTTTCGGGAGAAATTTGATTTAGAAGTCTAAAGTCAGATTTCTTAGTCTTCAAAGGTTAATAATACCCAGATGAAAATGAACTTACCTATCTAATATGATCCCAAACACCTAGGCAAATGGCAATGAAGGCTATGTGAAGATGACTAATGGTATTAGTCAACTGGTCTTTTATTGGTTGCATTCTTCCTCTTAATCACGTAACCCCACACACACACATCAAAGCAAGCAATTTCAATGTAATAAGTTACATAGTTTGACATAAGGAGGGGAAAAGTGACAAATCAACACGGTGCAATTTCAATGGAATAAACATGATGCATGCTTACCTTATTCATGAAGTTCAACACGATGGCTACAAAATTCATAGAAAAGAAAATTAGGAAGACAAAGATGTTAGAATTGCAAATGAAAACCATCAAATCAAAAATGAAAAGAAACATGGCATTTACCAAACTTGTAACATTTATCGAGCTCTTGCTCGAGGTAAAGGATCATTAGACAGAGCATGAAGCACCTCTAGATTCCATATTAGAGGAGTTAGGGTCAGGGATTAAAGGAGATAAATAGATTGAAGAATCAGATAGGGATCAAATAACCAAGACACCTTATTCTCTATTGTTGCCGTCGTCATCTGAATCATGACCACTTGCTGTTGTTGTGAAAATCACTTGGTTGTGGCCACAAATATGTTAGAAATCACAACTCACATGGTAGCAGGAGAAGAGAGGATTTAGTTAGAAATAAATTAATCATTTAACTCTTGAACATATTAACATCACAGGACCTAGGTTCCTTTCCAAATTCCAAGTCATTTTGAGTTATAAATATTGTGATGAAGTGTTTTTGAACAATTTTCCCTGCAAACTAAGCTATATTATCTTTTTTATTTCAAAACATGGTTATTCATAATTTTTAATCTCAACATTTTGTTTAGCTTAATGCGCACCAAGGAGATTCTTTTGTTTTGTCTAACACATTGAAACTTATTTTTTTATTCACGGGTTTGTGCCCGTTGCTGGTGACGTCATTATTAGCACCGTTTTGAAACTGAAGCTTCAACAGCTTCGGGATCAGGACCAACAACTTTTAATTCTAATACTCATCTAATTAGTGCCTAAGGGCGTTGTGACTCGCAGGAGCTGTTTACTTTTTAAATTGTTGTTCATAAAATAATTAAAATATATTTTACAATCAAATACACTAAGTAAAAAAAATATCCAGAAGCAAACTCCAAACTTAAATGCATTTTTAGACTCGTGCGAACAATAATTCTCAATAAAGGAGAATCCAAGATAGGGTACATCTAAGACACCGAGGATAAAATGAATGACTAGATTGGCCAAAAGAAGAACAAACGATGAGGATGGTTTTCAGCGACTTTTTCTCATGAAAAATATAATAAAATACTTCTAAATTATATAAATGATAATTTGAACTTTTCAAATATCATAATTTTATTGAAATTTTTAAGAATTTTTTTATTAATAAATTTATATAAATGATCAAATTGTCCTTATAATAATACCATGGATTTGATATGTAAAATTGTGATTTGTTATTGTATTATTGTAAATATAAGAAGTAAAATTGTAATCATTTAAATAAAACTTGTGATAATTACTTATTATTTTCAACACTTGTAGCGATGTCAAGAATTTAACATGCAAACTTGTAATTTACTGTTGCATTATTGAGAATATAAGAAAAAAATTTGTGATTAATTAAATAAAACTTGTGATAATTACTTATTATTTTCAACACTTGTAGTAATATCAGAAATTTAACATGTGAGGTTGTTTGTTATTGCATTAGTGTAAATAAGAGAAGCAATGTTATGATTATTTAAACAACATTTGTAATCATTATTTGTTATTTCCAACACTTGTCACAATATTAGAAATTTGATATATAAAGTTGTGATATGTTATTACGTTGTTATATTGGAAGAAAAATTATGATTATTTAAATAAAGCCTGTGATCATTTTATTTTCACAAGGCTAATTTGGTCATTTATATAAATTAATTAATGACATAAAAATTTTTAAAAATTTCAATAGAATTATAACATTTTAAAAAATTAAATTATTATTTATATAATTTAAAGAGATTTTATTATTATTATTTTTTCTAACCCACTCAGTAATCTGCTTTCGAGCCAATTAAAGGGGCCCTTAATAATTAATAAAAATATGTATAATCCTATTATAAAATTAATGCTCACACGTTTATGAGTAAATGCAAAACGGGCTAAAAGAAATTAATGATGATGGAGTTACTCCAGCCCAAAGAGCCATTGCTTATTAGGGAGCAGGGAGAAAAAAAATAATAAGTGAGAAGAAATACAGTAACACGTAATTAATTAATTAAAGGGTCAATCGTAGGTTTGTTTTGTATTTTTGTTTTTGTTTTTATTTTTTGGTTTTTGGAAAAGGCGTTCACTGCAGAATGCAGATGGGAAAGCAAAAGAGGGCGGAACAGAAAGAAGCCCAGAGAGGATTGGGCTGAAAAGGTGTGGGGCCCATATAATATTTTTTTGACGGAAGCAGTCAACGGGGGTCCCGTTTATGGGATGACAGAAAGAAACTCCGATTTCGTAATCACGCATGAGATTTTCCAAATATTGCATGCAGAATCATACTCTCCTTCCTGCTATGTGCTCTCGCCTATCCCCTTCCTCCCCCTTACTCTCCTCCAGTAATTTCGCAACTTTCCTAATTTTTTTTTTCTAAATTTCAATATCCGCTAATATTTTTATTAATTCATCAGAAATTCAGCTCCTCCTACTCCTTTAAATTCTCAAACCCTCTTTCTAAACCCTCCTCAAAGCCCTTCGGCGTGTGAGCTCTTGCTTGCGGGTTAAGGATGGACCCTCACCGGCGCCGTTCTCCGCACCACACCGACTCTGCTAACTCCGCATCTTCTCCCCGCAACACTAACTCTGCTAATTCCGAATCTTCTTCGTCCGGAATAACTCTCCCCGACTCCTTATTTCAAAATCACTCTTACCAATTTCGTCCTGATCGTACCCTGGAGGAGTCTTTTGCCCGTCTCCGTGTCTCCTCCTATAATCACTCGCCTTCCCGCCCTTCTTTCTTGGACTCGCCTGTTGATGGCGGCGCCATTGGACGTGGATTTCCTTTGGGGCCAATGCCGGAGAAGAATCTCTCCGTACAGAATCTTGGTTGGGATAACAATGGTCTTGCTGCTGATGGCGGAATGCGACCGCGGGATTATTTTGTGGGCTCTGATGGTTGGGGTTTGGAGAACTCTTGGTCGGCTTCTTATCCGACATTGGATGCTCATGAGCACTATTCGAACTATGATTGTTTTCTTCCCTCGCGTTTCGCGACGCAACAAGAAGTCGGCGCGAGTTTCCCTGCTGTCCCACTTTTGGATGGACATGAATTACGCTTTATGTTACTTCAAAATCACGCCCGTTTTGATTACAGGAACAACATTTCGCATCTTTCGGATTCTGATATCATCGGTGGCCATCCCCAATGGTTGCAGCCGTCCTCGAGTCTCCAATCAATCGGTTATTTTCGCGGGAGCATGCTGTTGTTAGCGAGGGATCAATATGGATGTCGACTCTTGCAGGAGATGATGACTGGCTTAAAAGCAGAGGAGATTTCTTTGATATTTTCTGAGCTGATTGAACATGTGAGCGCGTTGATGCTGGACCCATTCGGAAATTATGTTTTCCAGAAACTGCTGGAAGTCTGCACCGAAGAACAGAGGACTCAAATCATTACCCGAGCTTATTTTCAGCTTTTCAGTATTTCTCTTGACGTGCATGGGTAATGAATGTCCCTTTTTTTCGCTTTTAAAAACCTTTGACTTGGTTATTTCACCATCATCTCCCAATGCTCAATCGTGAATTCGTTATGACATAATGGTTTTTCTTCACTCATCGCAGAACCCGCGCTGTGCAGAAATTATTGGAGCATGTTACCACCCGGTATCAAAGAGCTATGATTATTTCGGCTCTAAGCCCCCATGCTGTTGCATTGACCAGGGATATCAATGGCCATCATGTGGTTTTGCATTGTCTAAAACAATTTTCAGTTGAACAAAATAGGGTAAACATTTATTTCTTCTTCAGTATCCCTGATTTTGTGCTGTACTTCGTTTTTCTCCACGAAGTCATGCTGTGCTTGGTTAAAATATTCATATAATCATATTCCGCTAGCGTGTATATCATGAACATCTAAGTACAACTCATATCTTTTCCATCGCCATTACAGCAATACACCATTGGAAATTTGTAGACTCCTTAGATAGAAAGGTCTACCCATTGCTCTCAGTACCTCAAGCTAGATATTTTTGGCTGTCGGCCAAGCCTAGTCCTTATAGTTACCAAAAAAACAATTGCCTTGTTGCAATGATAGAGGCCGTTGAACTCATAATTCTCTTTTGCCTAGGAGTTTAATTAACAGCTGAACTTTCTGATGTGCATTATTTAACTAGATGATTTTCGGTTTGGTCAGGAACTGCAAGGTCGATTTGTGATTGAAGGTTGTGCATCTCTGCTACATTTCCTTTTTCTTTTCTTTTTTTTTTTGGGGGGGGGGGTTTAGGGATAAACCTAACATTACTTCTATAACTGATTTTTTATGTTAGTATGTATGGAAGACATCAAATATTTCATTGTTATTGTAAGTTTATCCATTTTAGGTTAGTTAACTTGTCCTGCATATTATGCTCTTGCAGCAGCTAAGTACATTTAATTTTCACACTTTTGCGTGATTCACTGTTTGTTATTGACCCACTGAATGCAATACTTGAACATGGTCTTCATTTATAAGAGATCTGGATCCATCAGGCTTCTATTATGTACTATTCAGTAAAAGCCTTCTGATATGCGTGCATATTTTCAAATCCAACCTTTTGTGAAGGGATGGATTCCCAGGCTATAGTAGATAGTCACCATTTTTCCACTTTATAATATATCATATTTTTACAATTAATCTTTATATGCTGCCTCTACTTTTTCCAATGTTTTTTGTGTGTGTTTTTCCTGCCACGTTCACCTTGCTTTATAATTGACGAAAGTTTAGTTCATAGGTACGGGGAAAGTGATTGTCATGAATTGATTATAAATGCTCCTGTCGGGGGGGGGGGGGGGAATTGTAAATGCACATTTGTATAGAAAATGAACCATCCCTACGCTACATGCACTTGTTTGGATAGGCATTTCAAGATTTGGTTTGAATGACAATAGGATTTTTAAAAAGTTCCGTGATTCCCCTTTTTTGTAAAGGAAACCAAGGAGAAAATTGTAACGGTTTACAATTCTTATTGGATAAAGTCTTGTTTGTTATGTTACTCTACTTTGGTTTTCTGTCTTCAAAGTTTCTGATTTTAGACTCCCCTGGCAGCATCTTCTGAATGAAGTAGCAAACCACTGTTTTGAGATTGCAACAGATAAAAGTGGGTGTTGTGTGCTGCAGCAATGTGTTAACCATGCTGAGGGATCGATCAAAGATCGACTTATGTCTGAGATTGTAAAACGTGTTCCGGAGCTGGCACAAGATTGTTATGGGTTTGTCTTGACCTGATCGTGAAATTCTCTCATTTGACATTGATGCTTAACTGCAATTTTTTTTTTTTTGGTAAAAAAGATTTAACGACCATTGTTTCACTTGCATGTCGTTTTTCCTCTTCCAGCAACTATGTGGTGCAACATTTGATTTCTCTGAAAATAGCAGCAGTTACGGAATCTATGCTAATAATGCTTCAAGGGAGTTTTTCCTGTCTTTCCTGCAATAAATATGCTAGTAATGTTGTGGAGAAGTTTTTACGTGAATCTGGAGAGCAGTATTCTACACCAATAATTTTGGAGTTGCTTCAAGATAGGGGTGTTTCATCGCTTCTTGTGCATCCATACGCCAATTATGTCATCAGATCAGCACTGATGGTGTCCAAGGTTGAGGCACTAGAAACACATGCAAACTCAGATATATATATATATATATATATATTTCTGTTTAAATTTTAGAGTTCCCTATAGTAAAGGCAATTGACATTCTACTGTGGTAGAATTCGAGGCGCTTCTCTCAGTCTGGGTGGGAAACATTTATTTGTTTGCTTGCTTATTTTATGGTAGAATTGCCAATGCACCTTTTGCGTAAGATATCTGAATAACTTTACCGGGCAGGGTTTGTTTCAAAATGTTTAACTCAGCATTGAGGTGACTGGTATGTTTGGAAACCTGTTGCAAACTGTGTTTTGACTAAGGTCAATTTTGTCTGAACACACTAGTTGTCATCAAATTTCTCTCAGGGCATTTTATGAGGAAGAGTGCTGTCTCTAATTTTTTTATATCTTCAAAAATAGGAGAGGTCCTGGTTGACAAATCATAGAACTCTTTATGAAGCTTTTTCTCTAGGAATATGCAGAACATGCTACATGGGGTCTAAAGTCTTGTGGAGTTCATTGCAATGCTATCCAAAAATGCTAACTTTTTTGCCGCGGCTTGTAGGGACACATTCGTGATGCACTGTTGATGCTGATTGATCGAAATTCCGCAAAGATGCGCACTAATCTCTATGGGAAAAAGCTACTTGCTCGGTTTGACAGGGGCAACCTAAGATCCATCTAGACATGTATGATTATTTGTTATATATATTACATGTTTTGCTGAGAATTTCTGTAGTTCTTTAGGGAGTCATTTATGTTTACCTTGTGTCCCATTAACGTGGGAACTAAGGCAATGTCTTGAATCAGTGTCAGTAGCATCTGTTGTCTATAGTAATAATTTGTTTGAGTTTGGAGGAGGAGCAAGTGGATGAGAGGTGGAGGGTTGTGATTGGAGGCTGTGGTCAAAATGCAAGTGCATAGGAGCTCAAATTATATAATCATTACTTTATCTTGGGGGTGGCTGAAGCGGATCGTACATAAGTTGTTGTTGTTGTTGTGGTTATTTTTCCCTCTTCCCTTTTGCTTTGTATTTTTTTTTTTCGTATAATAAATTGGTTTGGTCTCTTAATTCCAATTGTTTTGTTTTTTATTGAGTTAAAAGTGCATTTTTTCCCTATACTTTTGTTCAAGTAGTGTTGAGCACTTTATGTTGATAAATAAGGTATTTTTTTTCTTAAACTATTTTCTAAAGGAACAAAAATCTCCTTATGTTATTTGTTAATTCTATTGTTTTTCTGATGACATTACATGTCCTTTAATGTTAATTTGTCCATAAATTTTTTTTTAAAAGTGTTAGGCACCTTAAAATATTGTTGAAATAAAATTTAATAAATATTATTAAAATATTTAAAATTTATTAAAAAATTAATATTGATTAAGTTTCTTAAATTTTTTAGGTCATTTTTTATAATTTTTTGATTAACTAACAATTAAACTAAAAGATGTTTAAAACTAAAGTGTCATTTATTTTTAACTTGTATTTTCATATAATGTAATATGTTTTTAATTTTAAAATGAAAAAAATAAGTTACAAATTTAACAAAATATCATTAATTTTATTTATTTATTTAGTGATTCATTCTCTCCTTTTCAATATGAAGGTACAAAATTTTGGAGAAAAATAGTTAGTTGACAAAAAAAATGACCTAAAATATTTAAAGAACTTAGTAATGATTAATTTGCTTGTAAATCATTTTCTATAATTTATTTAAAGATATTTCTGTTATTATTATTAGGGTTATTTGGTTATAAAGTACATAAAATGATTAATTTGCTTACAAAATCATTTTCCATAATTTATTTGCTTATAAAAATACATAAAATAACCCAAAATATAAAATATCCAGTATTTTTAAAAAAATAATCCTTTTTTATTTGTTTTATGAGGCTTTTAAGTTTTATTAGCATACAAAAATCGGTTTGGATTTTCAAATGCTTGACTTACCGGCATTGATTGTTGTGATTTGGCTTTTTCTGTTTTTAAGAATATGAATAAGTGAAACCCACTTTTCATTAGTTTTCATTTGAGAGAATATTGTAGTTGTATCTTTTTCAAAAGGAGAAACCATCAGCAAAACAACTAATTATTACTAGCATATTCGAAATTTAAATATTGATGATGATTGCAGGGCATCTTACGCCAAAATAAATGCCGGTCTATCCTGCTGGCTTTTTTTTTATCATAATACAATTTTATTGGTGACTATCACAATATTAATACACATATTTAAAAGTTGGCCAATTAAATGATGGGGCCAAAAACAGAAAATGGCCAAACAAGAAACAAACTTGGGGTGGGGGGGGGGGGGACTAAAAACAAGCGCATAAAAGAACAAAGCAGCAATTAAAATTGCTCCATCGCACAAAGTTCCTAGAGAACAATTTAGTATTGAAGAGGAGAGAAGTTGTTAATGAAGTGAAAATCAACGATACATCTACAAAACTTGTAACGCATCGTCTTTAAGGAGAAATGTACTAAATTGGTACTGACCAGAGAACTCAAAGTTCTTGAGAAGGCAAAAGGCTACAAACTAGCAATCTCAAACCAAAGCTTCTCAAAGCTTCTTTATATGATATCTCTACTTTTGTAAAGGATTAAAAAGGAATGAAGAGAAAAAAAATCAAAATAGAGATATAAAGGCAAAAGAAAACAGAGGTGATAGGAAGAAGATGGAAGAAACAGAGGAAATAGAAAAAGAACGAGGTGAAACCAAAATGAAGAATGAAACATGGAGAGAAGAAGTAAAAAGATGAACATACCAGAGATCAAGGTATTAAAAATTAAATCGGGCATTGAACCGGCTAAGATCAGGAGTCAAAAGTTCAACCAGAGTCAATCCGATCATGTAAAATAATATATGTTTCATTATGTAATAAATAAAAAATAGTTTGTTAAAAAATAATATAGATATATAAAATGTATAATATATAGATTTTTTTCTTCTTCCTTCCTTGTATCTATCTATTTATAGCCAAACAAATATCACCATCCTTTTACTCTTGTCAATGTGTGGCAAAATCACCTCACTTTTTTTGAATTTTCCTTCACACAATGGGGTCTTCATCTTCTTTCTTCTTTCTTCATTTGCTTAAGCTTTGAAGAGAATGCGCACAATAGCAACATTAAGGACTTGAGCAACACCTAGGGACTAGTGAAGAAGGTAATACTCACAATGGATACTGAGGACACCAAGGGATCAAGAGAGCTCAGTCAAGATCCAAGAGCAAGTGGAGAATTGAAAATGAGAAGTGAAACTATAAAGGAGGGGGAAGGAGAAAGACTAAATAGAGACACGCTAAGGCTTCAATCTCTCTCTCTCTCTCTCTCTCTCATCTCTCTCTGCTCTCCTCTCTCTCTCTCTCTCTCTCTCTCTCTCTCTCCTCTCTCTCTCTCTTCATTTTGGTAGTTAGAATTTTTAAAAAAATCTAGTTTGCCTAACCCGTGGGGCTAGGTAGGTTGATTCTAGTTAATTGTGTCCACTTCAAACATGAAAATTGAACCACACATATGATCAAGTCGTCTCTCTGTCTGATTTTGCAAACAATGCAAAAAAGAGATGAAAGAAGAGCATGAGAAGAGAGACAACCCAATCTTTGAAAAAAATATAGATGGCAAGGGCACAAATGAACGGCTAGGGCAAAAGAAGAGAGAAAATCTCTTGGTGCAAAAGGAAAAGTTTATCTCTATTTTGCTAGCTTTTCTCTAGTCAAGGAGGAAAGAATTGTCTAATTTCACTTAATATACACTTACATATTAATTGTAAAAAAAATCTACATCTAAATGAATGACGCTCTCAATACCCTGAAGTGTAAATAACTTTCATTAGTATTCATAAATAACTATATCTTGTTATGAGATAATCGTAAGCCCATTTGACGTGAATCAATTTATAATACATTCATGAATCATAATAGCAGGGGTCTCTCTAGAGCTTCACTCAATATAAAGGGTACGGATCAATTATAAAAAATGTGTTGAATACGATCGATCTACGTGGACAGGGGGGTTCCCATTTTGGGTTACCCCCATGCATTTGCGAAGTGAGCAAACTAGCAGAATCACTTTAGCCGGTTTAAAAAATTAGCAATCACTTCATGTTGATAAGTAGGATTACCGTTTTATTTTGTTCCCAGCTTAAAATTCATTAAGATTATTTTTTTTCCATCCGTTGTAATTTAAGTATTTCTTTGATAAACCTTTTTATGTATTAAATGCTTAACCGATCAGGTGTTACAATTTTTATTTTTTAAACTCATTTTATCGATTCACTTCTTATAGTGTGAAAATTTATTTGCATATGTTTTAGTAAATTTTATTCAAATATATTACCTTTACCACACCCACAACTAAATTATCTATTTTCAAAAATTGATGGTTTGTTAAATTATTAAATATATTCGTGTTAAAATAAAATTTAATTTTCTTGTAACTGACATGTGTATAAAAATTTCACTTGACTCGTGTGAATTCAAATATATAGTAAAAATGAATCGCAGTTTCTAATACTAATTATTTGCTTGTTCACTAAAAAATACTACTAACTACTCAATCAAAATGGCTGCATTATGGAGGACCCCCTGGCAAATGGCAACAGATATTTGTTTTATTGGGGTGTAAACTGTGAAGTGTGAACAGATATGTCTCATGTTACCGTGTCAAGTGGCGACACCTCCCACACGTACGTGCCATATATTCGGGAGAAGAGTTTTCCTTGAGAGAATGAGAAAAAAAAAAAAAAAAATCCTTCCCAAATTGAAAAATTATAATTTGATCTCATAAAATATGATAATATCTTTTAAATTTTAAAGAATTAAATTATTATTAAAATTTTTAATGAGATGACAAAAATATTTCTTAATTTTAAAAAGTGCAACAATTTTTTGTCACAGCTTTAATTTGTTATGAAATTCACAACTGTAGTTTAGTAAATAACTAAAATAATTAAAGAAAAACATAATTTTTGGTCTCCACTCCTTGATCATATTTTGTTATAGGTTCCTTTACTTTTTTTTTAAGATTTTGAGTTTCTACACTTTTTTTTAATGTTTTATGTTCATTTAAGATCCCTATACTTTGATTATTTTAATTACTTAGGGCCTTAAAACACTAAAAAAATGAGAGTGTATGGATCCAGGATACCAAAACAAAGTACAGGAACCTATAACAAAATACGAGCAAAATATATGAATCAAAAGTTATATTTTCTCAATAATTTAAACACTTACAACTTTTGTTCATTATTTTTTAATCAATTAACAAAGTGCAGCAACGTTTTTTTATTTTTTGGTTCAAAACTTTAGTCGTGAAAATTACAAGTCTGGCTCAGCGAATAATTATAAGTTATTTAGGTATTCACAATTTTTTTTCATAATTTTTCTTCACTTTTTAAATGAAGAGGTATTTTTATCACTTCATTAAAAAATTTATGACAATTAAATCCCTTAAAACTTATAAGATATATCACATTTTTCTATTTTGGATTGATTTATTTGTCACACTCTATTTTCATTTTCTCCCTTACTCTTCATTTCCCTCATTTTCTTTTTGTCATCTTCGTATTAAGGTTTTCAACAATTCAAATTAAATTTTCGATACAACTATAATTATAATTTTACGCAAAATATTATAGTTTTAAATCGTTCATATCAATTTTTAATAGTTCAACTTTATTTACATATTTATATGTATAATTAAAATAAATAATTTAACAAATATTAAATTTAAAACGAGAGAAATAGAAAATTAAGAAGATGATAAAATAAAACTTCTCTCCCATTTATTCATTAAAACCATGATCCCTTGATTTGATTAGAGGAGAGAGCAGGAGAGCTAAGAATAATTTAACCATTATTAAAGTTGTTCTTTTATTATTAAAAAATAATTATATATTATATATTATTAATTTTTTGAGCAAAATATATATTATAACTTCAGATTTTAAAAATATAAATACTTTCACTTTATATCAATAGCATTTTTTGTGAGAATCAATACATGAACATTGTATTTTATCAATATATATTTAATGAAATCCGGGGTATTATTTCCTCTCT